AATGAAGCCAATTCATAGATGGGGATTATTAGGAGGCCATGATTGGTAAGGGCCAATGGGAAATTTGGCCAGGACGCCGGGGTTACACCTCTACTCTTTTTCGAGAAAGGCCCTGGGATTTCTACTGACCACAGAGAGTCAATAACATTGCAGTTTCCCTTTAAATTTCAAATGCTATTCCTAATTTTTTTAAATGATCTCTTACAAAGACAATTATTCAGAACGGTTTTGGAAAAAACAGCCAAAGATGAACAAGCAGTTCATAGAAGCAATTGGAAAAAAAACATTTTAGTGGCATAAAACTAATTTTCATGTGAAATACCACTGTTTGTTGAAGAAGGACTATGTAGCTTATCTGATTTGGACAGTCCATCTTTTGTTCATTAGGTTTAGCACAAACTGGCTGAAATAAACAGCGCATAGCATGCATATTGTGAAACCCATTCATCTAAGACTCTGCACATATCATGAATACCATTTGTGTTCCACAAAGAATTTGTTATAACTTCTTTAAAAATCTTATCTTTATTGCATGAAAAAAAGTATTACTGACTAGTCATTTTCCATGCTTGAACAAATACTTTTCTTAGCAGCCTGCTAGGTCACCCTGTGATTGAGTTGAAACCTGTTTTTTGGATTTGGTCCCAATTCAAGACTCCACCCAGGCTGCTTGTTTTAAACAGTCTGGGAAGAAAGAAGATGAATGCGTCTTGCTCTATCCACAAGACTTCTACTGACCATCCTTTACTTAAAGTACACTATCTTAAAGTCTTCTGTCGGAGGTTTGAACTTTAACTTTTTAATTAAGATTCCTCTGGGACCAGGGTCTTTGCTTGTTTGTGGAACACACTTAATGAGCAATGGGTTTGGTCTCTCCTGCAGTACTGTTTCCCTGGTTTGATACTGTTCATGGGCACTTACTTTGGATCCAAGTCAGTCAACCCACTGTAGTTTAACTTTCAAATTCTCTTTGCATTTGGCGAAACCTTTGGGATACTCCTTTTGTTTTACAAGATAAAATCAATAGGAGTGAAAAACTAGCCACGCACCAAGGACACTCAATTCATTTTACATTCTTTATTCCCCAATAGAGATTTTAAACAGTTTAAATGCCTTTCCCTGAACTTAATAACCAGTCGTTTATCCTCTAAGCCATTCGTATCATTAAACGCATTTGGCAGCGAGTTTTTTCCTCATATATTGTTATGATGATATGGACATTGTTATATCAAAAATATTATGTAAAGGTGAAATTGATTCAAAGTATTCAAAAGATCAAAATTTGGTCCTCAATTGTTAACCCATCATCACATCAAGTCCACAACAGAACAACAGCGCCAGACGTGCACAGGTAAAACAGTCAACTGAACTGCATAGGAAATTTTCTTAGCAACACGCCCTCAGCCCTCACAGTTTCTGTTCAGCTCCTGCTGGCAATATGAAATGGGTTTTCATTTGTCTGTAAATGAAATCCGACTGATGAAAGTGCAGCACAAGTGAAGCCTGCTTTGATTTAAAAATAGCTTCTGCTGGTGTGATGTAATAAGAGCCTGCCCTGGCACACAAGTGCCTAATGGTCAGCAAACCATCGGTCCCCTCCACAATTCACACCGCTCAACTGGATCCATGAATACTTCGTACTCCTTCTCTTTTTAACAGTACTTTAAACAGCATTTTATTATATCAGATGAATATTTCTATATAAAATACGTACTCTAGCATATAACAAAGTCTCTACTGAATAAAATTAACAAGGCAATGAACAACATTATAGATATGGGTCAACATCAACATCTGCCATTGGACTGGACATGCAACTTTAGCCAAAATACAGATAAAACATTATGCCATATACACATAAAAACTGACACTATAAGACCAGAAACGTGTACACTGTACATGAGACATTCAAATTGAAGTGAAAAGTGCAGTGCTGTTGATGGTCCTTTCAGTTTGCATTTTTTGTCATTGCATAATGTTGTTGGTAAGAAGCAATGGATCAGCTTTTCAATTGAATTTTTAAAATTGGGAGCCAGATTTATAGCCCTAGTGTCAAAGCTAATAAAGGTAGCAATGCTAATACGCTAGCAGCTGCCTGTCAGATTAGAGCAAACGCTGCCCATCCAGACAGACATGCAGCTCTTGCACTATTAGAGGGACAATAAGCTTGAAGCTCAGCTAATCTCGGGTAGTGCATGATGTGCTCATCAGCACTGTATTCCACACTGCATCTGCACACCATGCGCAAGGGCACTGCCAACAACATTTTCCAGCAAACCGTGACTTTTAAATTAACAGCAAAAGCCATTTAAAGACACTTATTGTTTTCTGAAGTTTCTGTGGGCATTCAAAAGCAATTCAGTTAATTATAGCTGTAAAATCAAAGGCATCTCTTCAAAAACAAAAACGTCAGTGCCAGTTATCTTCCAGTGCAAATACTTAAGTGCAAAATGTACAAAAACTGTTTTGATCAGTTTTTTAAAGTTTTTTTAACTCAGAAGGACCATAAAACCACCCAAAGTTAAAAATCATTCAAGAAAGTTGCAAGGTAGTAGCTGCAGACAAGCTTCTGTTAAATTATACTGCATCTGGTATTGATATGTTGGAACACGTTAGTATATTAGCGCTAGGTACTCCCGAAGATGTAGTCAAAACAAACATGAAATACCTCGCTCTGAGCTTCGCTATTCTAAAACAGTAGGGAAAAGGCTGTCTCCCTCCAATGTCAACACCTTTTATAAACCTTTCAAAGATCACCTCCTTCAGGGAAACTCAAATATCTTTGAAAGGTAACTGCATTAATCTAGCACTGCTACCGTCAGTCATCTCTACCCCCAGACCGCCCACAAGGCCCATAGGAACAGGATAAACTGCTCCTGGAAATGTGCTCTCTTTTCTACAACACAGCAGGAGAGGTGCAGATGATCCAAAATCACCCCATGGACTGGTGTTATTTTAAGCTTACCGAAGAACTGCTAAGCACTGCTTCTCCGTTAAAACACATAACTGACAGTGACTGCCAATTTCTGTCCATTGTTTCAGTGGGAAAGTACATTCCACTGTACAGAACAAAGTGGAGACAGATCTTTGACCAGATATGGGGAATAAAGAAAGGCAAGGAGGAGCCAGTAGAAGTTTTTAGATGGTTTTATTCCAAAATGTTTAAAGCGAGCAGGTCAAAAGAACTCTGTTCTGTAGCAATCCAAATCATAGCTCTGCTGGGAAACAACAGGGTTTGCCTCAGGTGAACTAAAGTGCTCCAAATTGTTGCTCTAGGGGAACAGCAGTAGGCAGAATTAATGTGTCTGGAGAACAGCTGCCGATTTAACAAGCTTCTGTAACTTTGGAGAAAAGAGGAACCACATTGTCATCCGTCACAGGGTGGTAAACGTGTAATGATTAACAGTAAGTGGATTGTTACCTGATCATACTCCAGAGCTCCAGGGTACAGTGGCCATCCAAGAAACAGCTCTGCAATCACACAGCCCAGAGACCACATGTCTATGGCTTCACAAAACGGCAACCCCAAAATAATCTCTGGCGCTCTGCAAAAGGGGAAAAAAGGACCATTTCATTCATTAATTTAGGACAAAAGCACGACATGGCATACACACAACTGAAATAGTAAACTTAAATTCAAGTACATATACAGAAGCCCTAATTTCATTTCCTTGCATTTACTTCAACAGTGTATCCGCCTTCACTGGATGGGGTGTTGTCCTTAGTATTTACACTTTGCTTAAAAAGATGAAACCTTTCTACAGTGCACCACAACACCCTCGACTCGGATTATTTAAGGCACAAAATGGAAAGAAACCACATATGGCCAATTTTAGCATTTAAGTCATTGTTTCTTCAAAAACAGACTGCTTACAGAACTATAAATTTTCCTTCAGTATCATGAAGTACAGAAGCCTTCACAGTAGAGTGGATAACACGCATTTTCAATATATTTTTGAGTTTGGAACTACGTAAAAATAAAGTCTTAGAAGGCGATCCTTCATTACAAATTTTATTTTCTAAAAACAAATCTTAATTTCAGTGCCACCTGGATCCTTAGTTTACATAAAGGGTACTTTGTTAACTTATGAAACATCCGGTGCTTAGCAGAGGATAAATGTAACACCATACTGATCCAATTGAGAAGCACTGTAGTACAGAACATGTAGAGGCCGATTAGCTTTTCATCAGTAATCTCTAAACAACCAACTTGACTAATTTGTTTTAAAAGAAAATCTTTACCTTTGTCATTTCTCTCTATATAGTTTTTTTAAAACCTACACATTACACGCATTTCAAAATTACACACATGCCTTATTTGCATTTGTATTTTCATAATCAACTAAAAAATTTAGCCTTAGCCAACACTTAATGTTGCTAACAGAGAGGCAATCCTTTAGGTGTAGCTCTTTGCACATGTTTCTTTGGGACTGTTTGCAAATAAGTAACAAACATTGCTTCAGTTGTTTCTAAAGATGAGACCTGCTTTACAATAGGACTGAACAGACAGCTTCCCCAACAGCCATTACATTAAAGACTGCATCAAATCAACTTGAATTGTACTCGTCTTGAAGATACAGCTAGCACTGGGAGCACAGAAAAAAGGAAACCCTTGAAACACGAAGCCTGAAGTAAACTGAAGCCCTCCCTGTCCCTGTGGTCTCTGCCAGTCTGCTATGAGGAATCTGGAATGAAAGAGGTGGAAATGTGGAAACTCTCTAATCTATTACTATGGTGCAGACGGAGCCCAGAATACACGCTCAACAGCTGAAGACATTTTAAAAACAGGGCTCCAGCTACCTTCTATGTGTGCAGTTCTTTTCCTGCACAGATGAGAATACTCATGCACTACAACTACATAGCTTACAAGTTGGAGTTATAAAAATTCAGGCTTCAAAAATACCTTCCGAACTCTGCAGCTCAGTACTGGTTTTGCAAGGAATCGTTTCTGGGAATTTAAGATGCCAGCATAAGCAATGATACAGGGCTACAACGGGAAGCCCTACATCCATTACAAAGATGCAGAATTAACAGGCTGTTTTAGCAGTTCTTTACCAAAATTAATCAATTTTGTTTTGGCAAACGGCTTCTGTGTGGCGCCACAGGTATGGGCCCTCACACCGTGGCAGGGAATCCCCAGGCTGTGGCACACAACTGCCTGAGAGCCACTAACAGCCATTGTGGGATCAGCTGGCCAGGGCTGTTCTGGCTCCAGGCGACACAGTGATCCCTGCCTTTTCCTGGGCATCTCAAGGCATTGACGTGCTTTCAGTGAGGCAGATGCCTCTCCTCCAATCAGCACCAGGCTGAGCCTGAGACCTGTTAAAGGATGAGGGGATCGAAGGAGGCCAGATGGCCGGAGTCTGTCCGTTCACCCTCCTTCCCCCCGTGTGTGGTAACATGGTTGGCAGACGTGAGATGACCGTGAAAAACACAAAAGCCATTGGCAAATCGAGAGGATAAATAAAACAGAACTGGCACACAACTATGTAACACGATTTACTCAAATTCCAAAAAGTAAAACCACAGCTATTTTAACTGCTGTTCTCTTAACTACGTAAGAGGTTTTGCGTAATGCAAGCATACATCTTCCACACAGAACACAATATCTGAGCCATTATTACAAAGCTAGTGACTCGAGTTCTAAACTGGCTTTTCAGGTTTTTCTGTTTTGACACCAAGGAGACACTCTCTTTCTAACACACAATTCTTTAATAATACTGCATAAACAAAATGACCTTTCCTGGATGTCAACAGGAGTCTGCATATACAAATAAACTCTTTCATTACCAGAGGGCCATAAAATTGAAAGTTCGAACACAGAAAGACCTATAAAACGTAAAAACTACATAAAACCATTATGCTTTAAAATGAGAAAACATTTTAAAGCTACTAGCCAAAATGTCCTAGGGTTAATCACAATTTTAGCAACAACTGAGCAATCAAAAAAAAGAATAATGTAATATCAGATTCAGATGATCCTCCTCGCATCATGGTGCATGTGACATTCAGCATGGCATGAATCTGTAAGGTTTTAGTCATATTACATTAAACAATGATATAAAGAACGGCACAATTCAATTACTGTAATAGGTTATTATAATCCCAAAACATCCTTTCAAAGATGCTTGTCTATAGAGAACACGGACAAATCCTCTGTTTTTTCTATAAAACACTAATTCCTCTAGCTTTATTCCATTCTTATTTTCATAGTTAAGACTTCTTAATGCCTGGTACATAAAAAAAAGTAATTTAATACTGCTCCAAACAGAAAAGTTTGATCTCTCAGACAAAAAAACAGACATTCCAGGAATAAGTGGAACATGCTGTGCTACACTTGATGACAAACATCTTCCAACCATGCTACTCACTTACAACCAAAAGGCAGCAGAGACAGAGAGGCCTTCCACTTGTTTTGTATTAATGATTAAAAGGCATCTGTCTGCCTACAAAGTGAAGGCCAGATAAAGTGCCCATAAACATTCAGATTTCAAGGCATGCATAAACAGTATGGGAACACACCCTGTGTTGAACAATACAAAATCATTATCTATGATGCAATATTCCCCTCAGCAACACAACATGCTCCCCTTGTCTACACAACTTGGTCCTCACTTGAAAAGGTATTCCAAACGGCAACAAATGTAGAATTTCATTTTTACCCTTCTCCTTTCTACCTGAAACTTCTAAAGAGGGACATTTTCCAAACATACTGGAGAGTGGGTTTTTATTTTTATTCGCACACCAGCACACTAGGCAAGATCCAATTATTTCACTTCTCAACAAAGAGCCACCGACTATCATCTGCTTATAAGTTATAGGGAGAAGCACATTTTTAAAAGCGTCTTTAGAAATCTCCAACGTTTAGAGCATTTCAATGCTTAAACATAAGGAAGAAATTTGCTTTCTTCCCAACTGTCATTAAAGTTACTGAAATTGGGGAAAAAAAACACTTTTGTCACTAGAGAAACTGCTGGCTTCTATAGATCCTGTGTTCATGGCCTGCTGGCCCACTTATCATCCTCCTCAGGAGAGAGGAAGACTGCAGCAGCACAGGCTTCACATCTCAAAACAAAACCTAGGAAATCCTACAGGACAACTAATACTGACTGAACACATACTGGTGCTTTGGCAGCCATTTAAAGAATAGTGACCAGATCCATTCTGTGGCCTGAGGGAATATCCTACACTGACAGGCTGAAAGAACAGAACCTTTTTATAAATTTTCAACAGAGAAGGTTACGAGGGGACCTGATCCAACTTTTCAAAATCTTCAAAGGCTTTGACCATGTCAGCCCAGAAGACTTTTTCAGAACGAACGGGGAAATATGAACCAGAGGACACAAGTGGAAAATATTTGGCAGCGCATTTAAAACTGAGAACAGGAGGCACTTCTATGCTCAAAGGGCTGTGGGAGTCTGGAACAAGTTAGCCAGACCCCTTTGTTGAAAATGATACCCTAACTTCTTTCAAGAGACAGCTGGATCAGATCCTTGATCAATTAACAACCAAACAGGCTGACAGGGACTCCTCTTGTTTGTATCTGTTATTATGATCTAACACGCCAACAACAACCAGGAAAACAAAAATCAACAGGCGTTAACTGACAGGAAACAAACACCTCAGGGGAAAGGGAATTGGTCAAATAAACCGAAAGGGGTCGTATTTCAAACCAACATCAGCTGGCCACTCCACAAATGGACTGAAAACATGTTCCCAACATGCAGTAGACCAGTTCCAATTTTCTCACAGAGAATTTTCAAGCTGGGATGAGTCACAAGTCAAAACAAGAGCACCCCAGCTACTGTGTCAACCCAAGCCTGAAATAAGTCCTAACAACGTACTTATACGTATCAGTTTTGATTTCTTGCTACTGACTGTTTATTCCAGGATTAATTGAACCTAATATTACTGCTAAGGCCACTTAAAATAAATCCATAATGCATGTTTTGCCTCCTTTCTATTTGTAGTCACTAAGGAAGTCACTATTTGTGAATGAACTACACCCAGAACCTGCTCATCTTATCTCTTCAAGCAGATTTTGTAGTACTGGAGAAAGTAGGGTGTGAAAACTCAATGTAAAAGGTGTTAACTGAAGCTGTTATTTCCGCTTAGAGAATATGTGGATTCTATATAGAGAAGAATTCTTCATTAAGCTTTGTATTACACAAAGAGTGACTCAGTAAAAATAGGAGTGCAAAAAACAGGATAGCAAGTGCTGACATTAACGGTCACTGATAAGCCAGGGATGTCATGTTAAATGACAGAAAATGCAACCTTTTTAAAATGTTCTTTACGTTAGAGAATGAAACAAAAATCAACTATTTAGCTTAACTTAACCAAGGTTAGCACAGACGTATATATACTAGCTCTATTATTCTTTATATTACATGATTAGTGTTGAATTGAGCAAATGTCTAGTAAACCATTTTGAGATTCTGAACAACACTACACCAAATCCCCAGAACCAGAACTAAAATTGTCAGAGAAACATTTGTTGAATACATAAAAGGACATAAAACATATTCGTCCCACAAACGTACAT